ACATTATCATGTGGATATTACTTTTTTTCATTGTCGCACCTTTTATGAAACTGAACTTCAGAGCTATAGAGTTAACAGTAATAATGAACAGTGCTGCTGAATTTCTCTCACTGCTATGACTGGACTTAGGTGTTGTGGATTAACTATGCGACACATTTGGAGCCTTTGTTTAAAAATATATCTGGCAAATATGTGTAGCCAAAAGTCACCCAAAATGAAATGAGCTCATCATTTTAGTGTGTTTAGTCCAAACCAAGGTCCGTGTTTTTGTTAAATTATGTACATTTGGTTCGGTCTGTTGCAAATGGACTAACAGACTTTACATGACGAACCTACGTGATATCATCATCAACTACGTGCTTTGCGTGTCTCTGTAGTTTACATTGATTTGTCTTTAGGTCTGACACCAACACATTAAAAAGCGTGGGTCTCGAATGGTGTAAACATGGATGAAATCGTCATTCCCACCCCCGTACTATTTTTGATTTTCTAACTTCAACAGCAACAACTTGAAGAGCTGTAGATGAGAGTTGTCCGAGGAAGTTTCATGAATTTGATCATTAGACAACAACTTTGTTGACATCGACAGGAAAGGAAAGGAAAGGAAAGGAAAGGAAAAGTCTGTGTAGTAAAACTCAACATAATAACGGACACTTCTACTCCTCGCATCAATTCCTGTCTTTGATACGAAGGTCCGAACCTTTCAAAATAACGCTTTCACACTGGGCATGAACCGGACTGTGGTTCAGTTTGGTCCGGACCAAGATCACCTCATTTGGTCGGACCAAGGTCTGGCTGTTTGGTCCGGACCAAGGTCCTGGGGAGGTTTCACACCTATCATTTTAGTCCAGACTAAACAGAAAAGTCTGAAAGTCCAGACCAAACGATGTAGGTGTGAAAGCCCCCTAAGATAAAGCTGCAGTGATCCTGCGTGGTCTCTTCACAGGCTCTCATTGGCTACTGTACAGCACATAACAGCACTTAGACCTATTGCTTTGTCTCACCTCTCTACCAAAGTTCTGCTCAGGGAAAATCAAACATGGTTGACAGAAGCAGATTAGTACGAATGCAAATATTTTCAAGAAGCAAAAGACTGTTGTGTTTCACCAGCTTGTGTGGGATTGTTACATCCCAGCTTTTGTGGCTCACAGTGAACCTAGTCCCGGTTAGCATCCCAGGAGCAGAGAACACATCTTGGAGACATCTTTCTTACACCTGAACCTGCGCCGAAACAAGCACAGCTGATTAAAGTTGCATTCCCACTGCAGGACAAAGTGTACAGAGTGGATTGCTCTCTTGAAGCACTTAAAGGGAAAGAAGGTAGAAAACTATCACACAAAGGAGAACAGACATGCAGAGGAAATGGAAAATGAATGAAAGACAAGGCAAATGGTTCGATGCAGAAAAACAGGACAAGCAGGTTTAGTTGTATTGAGCTACTGGAAAGATTAGGAGAAAGAGTGTGATATGAAGGAATAGTGTGATATGAAAGGCAGGAAATAAAGGAGGGGCTACAGAAGACCTGAGACTTAATAAAAGACTGTTTTATACTTCCTTGTGGTAGACACTAATTGTCTGATAGATCAAATTAATTTCTTTGGAGGAGTGGGATTGAAAGAGTTTGGGGATGGAGACAAGGAGGAGAAAAAGTTAGAAAATGAGATGAAGTAATAAGAGTATAAACAGTAAGAAGGGCTAACAAGGACGACAGACAGCGAGGGATGTTACAGTCTCTCGTTTTAATTGGCTGTAAGAATCATCAGTCTGTGACTAAAAGTTTGGTGTAAGAGTAGAACACCAAGATTAAAACTGGACTCTTTGAGAAGACTCTTTGTTTTATCTGAATAATTACTTTTTTCTCGTAACTTTATGGTTTTAACCAAAATGAATGTGTTGTTTGTCAGCATCATCATTCAAACAGCACGGTCATGGTTCAGCATCTGTGATGAAGTTTGAGTCTGTAAATGCAAAATCTGCTGCAAGCTGCTGATATAACTGATGTGACTCCTCACTACAGCAGAGGGCCATCTCTGCAGGCACACAGAGTCTGACCTGAGTTAATGTCCTGGGTAAATGGTCCAGCACTTTATATCACAGCTTGAATACTTAATGTGATCTATTTCATTTTAATAATCTCTTCAAGACCAGCAGGAATTATATGTTACATGGTCAGCCCAGTATGGTAGTAAATTTTACAAGTACATGTTAACTGGGTAAACCCACCAAGTTAACAACAGTAAACAATTTACATGTGTAAACAAGCAGATCTTAGGCTACCAGAGAAGTTAGGCGTCAGCGTGGTGTGGTTTATCAGGAGGGAGTAATATTAAAGTTACAGAAGCACTTCAAAGAAAGTTTGAGTTGGGAGGAATGATCAAGTTAGTTCAGATACAATAAATGACCAAAACCAAAAACATATATTTAACCATTCATCCTCCAACAGGTTTACAGCAGGTCCATTCTGGACTCTGACACCGGGGATGAAGAAGGCTCGGTGGAGATGGGAGACGAGTCAGGTTCAGTTCCCTGGAAAACTGGAGTGTTTATTGAGCAGCAGCCCTGGGATGACCGGAGGCAGGCCCAAAAAGCCTCAAAGTTCCACCAAGCTTCTGAATGTAGGTACTTGCAACCACAGACCCCAGTTAGCCACGCAGCAAGTGGTAAGACTGACTGACTCTGCCCATTATGGGGCTAGGACAGTGGTTCTCAAGTCCAGTCCTGGAGGCCCACTGTCCTGCATGTTTTGGATGTTTCCCTGCTCCAACACACCTGATTCAAATGATCAGCTCGTTATTAAGCCATTACAGAGCTTGATAACGAGCTGATCATTTGAATCAGGTGTGTTGGAGCAGGGAAACATCCAAAACATGCAGGACAGTGGGCCTCCAGGACTGGACTTGAGAACCACTGGGCTAGGACAACATGGACATTTTAGCCACAAGGCTTTGCTAGCCATTAGCTGTTAGCATTAGTGTCAGACATCCTGAAGCAGCCATGCAGAGGCCTAGCTCAGCCTCCTGAGATGAAGATTACAGCTGCCATCCACCTGTTCATTACTGGTGTCTGAATCCAGCTCTGGTTCTCCTGACCCTCATTCTGACATTTCACCTTGTTGTCAAACTGCTATTCTCCTGTCAAAGAAAGTGCAACGTGTAGTTTTCTATCTCTGTCCTGTAAATACTAAAGCTTTGTCACACAGCGCCCCCTACAGGTCTGAGGCACTCTCGTTAAAAAATAATTATGCACTGCTTCTGTCCTCTTTTGCAGCTGCTTTCTGCACCTGTCATTTTTTCTGTTTCATCTGTGTATTTGCAGCACATGTGCAGATGTTTTAGCTTTTTGCAGCATGTTTGTTGCATGTGGTTTTGTAGTTGTGTCATTTCTGCATTGACAGCATGTCCCCCCTGATGAAGATAGTGCAGGCTGTTGCAGGTTGTTTGCGATTGTCAGTCACCACACTGATCTTAATATTAACAAGGAATACAGCATGACATGTAGTATCAACTTATCAACTTAGCCTGCAAACATTTATATTTGGAGGTATGATTACCAGTCAACAACTGGACTTCCAACTGGTTTGCTGACTGTGATATCAATGTGCTTAACTGACCAGCAAATACTAACGAGCTGAAGGCCATGCCAATCTGGACTGTGTGTGTGTGGGGGTGGTATCCTGTTGTCAATCACCTGTCTGCTCTGATGTCTGCTCTGACAGTCAATCAGCACACCTGCAACTCATCCACTCATCAAGCCTGATAATGTTAATCAAGGGTAGGTCCACTCTTGGATGACTGTGAATCACCTAAAGCTAATGTTACACAATTTGAATAAGCAATTGTTCTGGCCTCCTTAGCTGTACTTGCAACGAAGAGGGAGATTTCATGGTATAAGAAGGACAGCCAAAGATCAGCTGGCACCAAAACAGCGCAGCAGTTTTTAGAGCAGCAGGGTGGCATCCAGAAGCCAGAACCTGGGTGAGGAGGTGCAGCTGGATCTGCTCTCTGAGCAAAGACTGCAAAAGGTTTTACAGGGGAGAGGTTAGAAACAGAAAACTGTTTTGAATTCTAAATAAGGTATTTTACTACTTACACCAGCCAGATGTCAAAGGTGTTTTACAAGAGGAAATCATTTTCTGGGCTCTCACACACATTTCAATAAGGTCACACACCACACATGACATTGCTCATGCTGATAAGCGATAAAACTCACGGCACATTAGTAACACTGTATATAAAAGAGATTAGTAATCCTGTGAACGGATGAGGCAAGGTCAGACTGCTCTGCTTGAATTAGCAACCTATCAGCCAATCAGAAAATAGTATTTCTTGTTGCCAGGTTGAAATAGCAGTGTTGTAATCACCTCTCTCACACACTGCTGTTATTCTGTGCACAACAGCACATGTGTCATAGCGCTGGGAAGTGGAAGCCTGAAATCAGACAGGGATCAACAGTCAATCTAAGGCTTGGGCAATAAATCAGGTTTTTGTTTTTAACTGCAAAGTATATGTTAACACACACACACACACACACACACACACACACACACACACACACACATATGCTGTCTGCATGTTCAGGTTGGAGTTAATTAATGCAGCCAATGACCAATGCTGTTCAAGGGGCCCCTTTTGGCCAAATGTCTTTCCGTTGTTGTCTTATTTTGTCCTGAAAGTCGTAAATCAAACAATTAATTTGGTATAAAGGAACAAATCCTTGATTAGATTATTAAACTAAAACATAATCTTCCAACACTCTTTCTTTTTTCATTGAGGGGGGCAAGGGTAAACAAAGAGTGTTGGAAAATAAACTCACTCCAAGCTTAGTTCAAAACTTGAGAGCCCTGATTGTTTTGTAAGTAGAGGAAATAATCATTTACCTTAAAAAAAACCCTAAACCAACTCAGTTCAGCATTCTTATTATACGCAAAGATGAGAGGCCCCCAAGAAAAGTTCGGACAGAAAACAGTAAGCATTCCTTCCTTTATTGATCAATCATGCAGCCTGGCTCTTTTCCTGGGGCTCGCGTCATCCAGTCTCAGTGCTCTGATTCACAATAAATGTCACAAGATTGAATTCAGTGCCTGTTTCCATATTTTCATTCTTGATTTTGTAGTCTTGCCTCATTCTTGCATGTAAGTGGTTTCAAGCTGTGTGCATGCAGGAACCCCAAATGACCGCTGAGTCCTGGTCTGAGAGCCCAGAGGTTTTCACAGAGAGAGCTGTCATCAGAGATTAGCCAGCAGTTTCTATGTTGCTCTCGATGCGCTGCTTTGTCGTGGCTAACAGACAACACTTTGCTTGATCCTCTTCTTATTCTGCATGGCACTGTGATAGATGGTACAGTAGGCAGATAAACACGCATGGTCAGAAAAACAAATTAGGTTCGTAACTGCAAGTTCATTTTGTGACGGTCATAGGTGGGCAAGTACAACTTCATACAGACAGCACCTTGTAAATTAGCATGATTCTCTCAAAGAATCTGAAGCTGCAGCTTGTCATTCACAGGTGTGGGGAATCAGCGCTGATGAGGAGGTGTGGCAGGGAGGTGAGTGAGAGTCAGCCTGAGAAACACAGAAGAGGGTGACAATTTTATGCTTTTATGCGATCTTGTATGCAGAAATTTTTTCATTTTTCGTTTACCTACTTCTCTCTGAAATGAAAATTTGGCTTTTACTCTTGCTGCCGTTCAGAAAAAGGGGGGAATTCATTTTTTGCCTTTTGTCGGAGGATGATGCGGTAGGTGTCAGGATCCAGGAACAAAGAAGAAAGAAAATAGCCCCTTTGTTTGATAGAGGTTTGACACCGAAACGTCGCACAATTAAAGATTTATTTATTTATTTATTATTTGCAAGTTGGCCAGTGTACAGCAGTTATGGCTGCCGTGAAAACCAGACCAGTGGAATTTTCTTTTATGATAGTAAAAACTAGGCGGATATGATAATGACAAAAAGGATCAGTATGACTACTGAATATCTGGCTGTATGCTTTTGCTTATTGTTTTCACTGCAGATCCACACTGACTCAAACTTGCGTATGCGTAAATGCTGATCCTCACGTCAAAATTGTGGTACACAAGGTGTACGCTAGTTTTCTGCCGTACGCAAGCTTGATAAATGAGGGCCAATGTATGTAAACGTGTCATAGACTGATGCTGCCTATTGAAGCTCATGTATCAGCGCGGCTGCCATCTTGGATGGGTCTCTCATGCTCTTCCTTTGCATTTATTCCTGTTGAGAAAGGAAGGAGTGCCCAAGTATATTAATCCTAATCTTCGAATTTCTGCCCAGTTTTTGCACAGTTTAGTTTTGTCACAAAAAGCAGGGATGTAGCTATAATACAGGAAATTGTCACACATTAAAAATACCCCCCAATTTTTTTTAAATGTAACCTATGTGACCTGCTTTCAATACTGTGTCAGTTTTTGCAACCATAGCATGCACATAAAACAGGCATAGCTGTTCATTTTCGGTTAACTCTATTTGGCTCTGGTGCAAGTCCAGAATGGGGACACCCATCCATTATGGTGTCGAGCATGGATTACACTCCAGCACGTAATGAGGTGTCTAGGTATATTATGTCTATGATTTTTCCATCCAAATGTAATGAACTCAGGAAGAGTTAAAATCCTGAAATTTGTGGCAACCATAAATAACCATAAATTTTCACCTAAATTTTGGAGAGCAAATGTTAGGAAGATTACAAATGGATGTCCTAGTTCTTGTTAACACAGTATCTCAGCAATGCAGGGAGAAATAAATGGTATCCTCTCGCAAAAATTGTTGAATTCTTCTGTTGATGAATGTGGTGCAACTCATTTGTAGAATATGGGGCAATTTTTGTTTTAGGCCAATTTATTATTTTCAATAAATCTAACCCACAAACATGTCCCATGCCAGCCAGAGTTACACTCCTTCTCTAAAGGAAACGCTGTAAGATGGGAAGCTGCTACCCAACTGGTCCGTGGAGGCATACAACCAATTATCCTAACAAAGAATCAGAAAAGACAGATACAGACAAGTGAAGTCTTTATCTCTGTGTCATCAGGACAGCTACACAGATACAAACTGAAAAAGTCCACTCGATCTTTGCGTGGGCTTCATGTGTGTTTCTTTCCTGACCTGCTTTGTTTCACCAGATTACATCACAGCGTTTCAGGTCAAGCTTAGTCTGTGTGTTGCACACAGGTTTGTGAAAGTGTGTATCCTGACCTGTTTTGTTGCATTAAATAAGGCCAATGATGACAACATAGATGACAAAGTCCACCACAGATCTGTGTTTGCAGATGTGTGTTTATGGAGGAGGATAATTCAGGTGTAGTTATCTGAAACCCTCCTGTTAAAGACCCGTACTTTCCCCCTCTGTTCTGCTCTCTTTTCCATGTCACTCTTGAGTTATTCACTCTCTTCTTTTTCTGTTTCTCCAATCAGGTGGTCAAACATCCTGGAGTCACCAGCTCAGATCGCACACATCTCACTTTCTCTCTTCATGCCTGGCTGAGAACATTTTAGAGAGGACTCCCATCTTCCTCCCTACTTCCCCCTCTGGGTGTAAAACACTTTGTTAATCCACTGTTTTACTAATCGAGATGATTGCTACCCTCGTTTTCTCTCCCTTATGCCCAGCACGCTGTCGCCAGTTGAACACATCCAGAATGCTGATGATGCATGTTAATGTCAGTTTGCAGCTGAGAAGAGAGAGAGAGAGAGAGTGTGCACACGCGTGCATGGGTGCGTGTGTGTGCACCAAGAGTGGACCTACCCTTGATTACGCACTCACTCACCGGGGACTTGTTGTCAAAAGGGACATTTTTGAGGTCCCCTCTTGAGCATGTTTTGAATCATCCTAAAATCATGTCTAAACCCTTCTGGGGTGGACCTTTAGGTGTGTGTGAGTGTTAAAGGCTCTGCTCTGCAGAACCTTTTAAGGCCTGAAAAGAAATTGTACCAACACCATTCACACATCCCATATTAACCCTTCTCTATTGTTTGAAAGGCCTGCAACCTTAGGCAGTAGAGGGGCTATTAACATGCCTTGGAGAAGAAAACCAGCTTCTTAAACTCTTATTAGTTTGCATAAATTTTACAAGCCAAATCTTGCCAAAAGAGAAAATTTTGTTTTATAAAAAAAAAAAAACCCTGAATAAACTGGAAATAAAATAATGAGGATGTTTTTCTATTTTGCATAAACCTTAAAAGTTTATTGGACACTGACAATGTCCAGTGTTAACAACTCCTTAGTAAGGATAGTCACCGGTGGCTGTGGAATTTACAAAAGAAAAAAGAGAGAAAGGATCATTTTGCACAAAAAAATCAACAGAAAATACACATTTCCAGGTAGAAACTGCTCATGATGGATAACTTGTTTAGCTGGGATAACTTACTGAGAGGTTGTGAGACAACAACACTGTTACTCTTAAAGCTATGGTCTACCATTTGGAAGCTTGGTACTTATTAATAACACTGTTTATAAGGCCGTTATAGTCCTATGGTCTGATCTACGCAATATAAAGATCAAGAAGAACGAAAAAAAAAAAAACATTCAGTATATCCGCTGCAAAAAGGCATAATAATCGACCAATCCGAACCGGCTGTTTGGAGTGGTCCATAAGTCCATCCAATCCCCTGTCTTCCCTGCTCCGCACCGTCCCTCCCATGGTCCTTCCTCCTCCTCACTACCGCCCTCACGTACATGTGATTAGCGAGCTGCACAGCTGCTGAAGCATAATGGAGCTGGAGAAGACAAACACCGAAACCACATGTTTACGCTCCACATCGAAGGGAAGGAAACAGAAAAGTTTCAAGGAAAAGGCCGAAGTAAGGAAGAAATATGAGCGATATAGGTGCCAACGGAGAGTCTACATTGGAGAAACGTATGACTGGTGGAAAAAGCTGCAGAAGGATTTGGGATTGAAAACTGACGCTGAGACAGCCGAATTTCTGTTGAACAGGTAATTACTTAGTTTACTACAGTGGGAGATGTCTGCTGAATAACTCTGGTTAGTCTGTGCCTATACTGGCTAATGACTGAACGTTGTTGGTTGGAACAGGTAGGCTCTGTCAATAGATTTTAGCATGTTAGCCACGCATCATTAGCATTGTAAACTGAGCTGGTGAAGACATGCCGAGAAAGGTAAAGCCTTGCCCACAATCGGCTCTGCTCTGATCGGCTAGCAGTGGCGACGTCAGACCACTAATATATAGTTTTGATCGCACTGGTCCAATTGAAATGGCTACCACTGTGTACCACTGCTGATATTATCTGCTCTGTCGGAGAGGGCGTGTTAGGAGGCAACACGAGCGGGGGGGATCTTGGAACACGGAGGGGAGGGGTGAGTGAAGGGGGGGCAGGCTGTGTTTTTCAAATCTGTCTCAACAGCCAAACTGGTTTTCAGATCGTAGACCATAGCTTTTATGTTACATGTTTTCCTGGTGAACCATAGAGGGCTGTTGACGTCTCATCTCCATAGACTGTATATACTATGGACAACCTGGTTCCGCCTGCCGCCTGTATACGGATTTGAAGCCAAATAGCTCTCGGTATTTCCGGGATTTTGCTTCATCTCCTGAAACCAGCCCCACGTAGTTGCGATGCATGCATTCGGCCGAGAGTCGCTGTGAAGACACTCGGCTAAAACAGCATATCCCCCGGGAGAGCTACGCAACCCCTGAACGCCAATAGTCAATCATAGAAAACATGAACCCCCTAATGACTTTAAAAAACAGAACTACATGTCAACATCGCAAGCAGGGGGGAGAAAAATGTAAGTTCTATGTAATAAATTTCTAAAGTTTGTCCACAGTTCCATAAGCTTTGCATTCTTTGTACAGTCTATGCTCATCTCCAGTTGTTTCCATCATATATGTTGAATTGTTCTTTTGTCCAAGAGATGTAAATAACTCAGATACCCATGTATTTAGACTGTTTCCAAAACCATTTGTTGTTTCTTGCGTATTTTATTGCTAGCTGGTTATCTATCAGATGAGAAGAGCTGTGGGCTTGTAACATCTCATCGGTAATAGAGGATAAGGGAATGAACAATTAAAGAAAACCAACCAGGAATGAAGTGTGGAGATTAGGGAATTTGAAAGAAAACAAAAGGTATTCATTAACAAAAGCAAAGTTGTAATATCCAATAACAGAAACTGAGCTTCCTTTTACCAAAACACAATCAAACAAAAAGAAAAAAGGCTGCTCTGGTTAAGTAGGGGGGAAAAAAGGAACAATCCAACAAAAAACTCTTCAGACACTTGGTCTTCAAACACCTCTCTTCTTGAGAGACAAAAATCACAGCTCAGGCCAGAGTCCATAGTCAGTCCATGTGTAGAGCAGTCACTTCCAGCAACACCTCCACCTTTCTGCCTTTCCTCTCCTGCTCCTCACCCTGCAGGTCCTGATGAGCAGGGAGCTTCAGGTGTGCTTGACTGAGGGCCACAGTGTTAAATCAGGAGAGTGGGAGGTGGATCATGGAATAGGAGAGCGACAGACAGAGAAACAGGGGAGAGCAGGCAAAACGCTCACAAAAACATCACCTATGACAGATTATAAACCAGGTGTCTGTTTAAATTACATCTTTCATATACTTCTTCCCAGAATTTCCTTATTTGAGCACACTGAGACAGTGAAAAAGACGACTCTTTTCTGCTTCACATTTAAAATGCACATCTGGAAACAACAGTTTTAATTCGCCTTTGCACACACCCTCTCTCATGTGCTTATCTAAACGTCTGCTATCTTCTGTAAGCCTCTATCAGCCCAGATTTTAGATCATATTTGAGATGTTTCCAACCATTGGATTTTTACTTTTTCCTAAATATAGTTTGTGCAGGCAAATGGACAATGGCAACTTTAAAGAAATTCCTTCATTTCTTCCCTCTTCTGTGTAATAGAACATGAGAGTTCTTGGCTAAGCTGCCCTGTAGCACCAGAGTGGATTTGGGCATTTGAACCGCCCTCATTCATATAAAGAGTACAGTAGCAACAGTCATAGCCTTGGTTATTTGTCATTCCACAAAAACCTAAAAAGATTTCCTCAGGTAGGAGAATAAAATATTTGGAGTTGGCAGAAGCAACTTTTGAAACATAGGCTACAACAACTTAGAGAAGCAGTATTTATTTTCCCTTGTATTGACATTGGTGACTGCACCCATCAATCCATCAATCTGAGATCTCCTGCATGACTGGTTTATAATTAGGGCCATGGGGCAAATGCAATGAGGAACTGGCCCCTATACTTTTGTATAGGGGCCAGTGCCTTGAGGCTGCTGTTTTACTGTGGATTTTTTCTTATTCCTCTTTCAGACGAATTTCCATTCACTACTCCCCCTTCAGCTAGAAGATGTGTAGGACAATTTATATATCATAATGTGCAGTTTGAGCAGGATCAGTGTGCTATTATTCTCCACTGTTTGCGAATTTTTATTCGACGCAAGTCATGAAAGCCTTTAGAAAAATGTTGTACTCAAGTCAATGGGACAAGCAAAAAAAAAAGGGCAATTATTGGAGTTAAAGAAATGTTTGTTGTAGGCGTCCTTATGAACACACCCCAGCAGTATCCCCTGAGGAATTTTTCTAGTTTCTTTCAACAATATTTTCCACAGAGGGCACAATCTGAAAAGCTTAATATGTAATGCAGTCATCAATCTTAAACTGTGCAGCTTTATTGGATGGATTTTCCCCATCTTTATTGTTTTAATGGCCTTATTGACAATTTAGTTTTATTAGTCTTATAACCAGGGAAACTATGTTTGCCACAAATAAAACTTTTCTGATCTTTGTCGGTCATTTTTGGTATTAATCCCTTGATCCATCTTGCTAAAATCTTACACAGAATTTTTAGACTAAAAGGCCTTATATTCTTACATTTGTTCTTTGATTTACCTGGATTTTGGAGCAACGACATCAAGGCCCCTCTTTCAGAGAACGGGAGTCTCATTTTTAAAATATTCTCTGACCATTTCTAGTGGAGTCAATAATTAGTTTTTGAATTTCTTATAGATTTCAAATGGTAGTCCATCAGGTCCTAGTGTTTTCACTGCTTTAACACCATTAATTGCTGAGGCGATTTTCTGTATATTATGTCAGAAAAAGACAGTTGTGTCTTTTTCCAAATTGCCCCTAAGAGCTTCTGATATTTGGGAATATTCTGTCTAAAAAGTTATTTAGCTCCTCCTATTCTGAGTTATTTATAATCTATAGAGCTGTTTGTTATGTTTCTTGTAGGTTTCATGTATTTATACTAGATTTACCAGTGTTTCTTCTTGATCACTGAGTAATGAAGTGATGGATGAACTCTGTAACTGCTTGATGTGCCAACACCTTCCGGGGTTTCTCTCTGATCCTACAATGTTTGTTTTAGACGTGGCAGGCCGGCCAGCGCTCTCAATGCAGCTACTTCATCGCAATGTGCTCTAAATATCAGCACATTTTAATACAGTCTATATTTATTCTCCAACATTTTATTTCTTGTCTTCAGTGTTTTGGCCTGTTGATAAGCCCGTCTTGCTTCAGAGCTAGTAATGCTGATTATTTATCCTCTACTGAATGCCTCAAAGGTTTCCGGTCTTGCTTGCTAAAGTTTCTGTTGTATTTGTTTCAAATATATTATTGTATTTGCTCATCCACTTAGGAGATAAAAGCAAACGCCAAACTGTAGCATCTCATTCTAAACTTAAGTCCTTAAACAGGAATAAATTTGGAGCGTGGCCAGAAATAAGGATGCCATCATACAGTAAGTGCAATCTTTAATTTGACACCTTAAATCTGCTAATGTCATCAATAAATCA